ATATATATATATATATATATATATATATATATATATATATATATATATATATATATATATATATATATATATGGCATCACCCCTCTTCCCAGCATTAAGTTGGATGGGTGGTATCTAGTTACTAATGAGCTGAATTCTGAAAGCAGCTGGTTTGTCTATTTTATTCAGGGGTGTCAGAGTACAGGGGGGTGAATACAAAAGCACACCAAAAGGTACAGGAACTTTGCTTTGACCTTTTTAAAGCAGCAGACCTTTTTCTTTTTCATTTTTTTCTTTTTTGTTGGTTGCAGAATCTGAAGAAAGCCTCAAGACAAAAAGATCAGATAATATTTTAAATGAAGAAGAAAATCTAATAAAAGTAAATGAAAAAAAACAGACTGCTAAAATAAAATGACCGTTTGAAATCAGTCTTTTTTTTAAAGCTCCTGCCAACAGTCTTTGCAAAGCATTTGCACAGAGGCAGGGAAGATATGTATGGCCTACATGCATGCGTTCATAAAGAAATGCGCCCACCCCTCCTCAGCTTGCATCTGGTGCAGTTAGAGGAGGGGGTTTATTTAAGCCACAAAATCAACAGAGAAAATAATAATTTTTATAGCAGCTATAATATAAAAAAAACTATAAAATCTAATTAAGTTGTAAAATCATATAAAAATGAGTGAACCTCATAAAAAGTTGAAATCCTAACTTACTGCTGTGACCAATGAGGCAGAGGAGAAGGAGCAGAGGGAGTCCCATGGTCCTGGAGGATGAATGAACTGCAGCTTCCTACAGTAAACTGGACTCCCAGCAGAGGAAATGCAATCAGTAGGAATAGTAATTCAGTCCTGTTGCTCTGCAGCGCTGCAGACGCTCCCGCTTCAAGGTTTGATACGTAGTACGGTGTTTGACAACATCACAGCGATTTCAATGTGGTCCACGGGTGGGTGGGTGGGTGGGGCCCCGGGGGGCCCCGTGGAAGGAATGGGCGGGATCTGGAAATGGTGTGATTTCTGATGTGCACACCCTCAACGATTAGGAGGCGACTGAGAGCCAATGACATTTTACTACGAGTTTTAACCCTTTCAGGGAGGATGGACAGTCTTTCAATGGAAGGAGTATGGGGGGAAATTTCTACCAAAATTATGGAATAAAAATAAACCCTTTTTATTAAGGATAGCACAACATAAAGAAATTATGAGTCAATATAAAACACAAACATAGATTTAATTACTTGATTTGATAAAGCAATATTCCTACTGGGTTTATCCCTTTAATATGTACACTATTACTATTTCATTTTTATTACAAGACTATGATTGACAGCATGGGCGCAGGTTTGCATATGGACCATAGGGACATGTCGCTACCAAAATTTTGGACCGACCTACTTG